TAGCGAAAGTAACGCGCCGCGATCGAAGAAATTTTCTTCGGAATAATCGACGCGTTCTTCTATGAAACTCTCCTCAAAGTGTTTTATTTTTTGTGAAAAAATGATGGTATAGATGAATGAGTACCCTTGTCTATGGATCTGAACATGATTTTAGGCGTTTTTAGGATATCATCTTTTTTTGCATATCGATGATACTTTCAAGAATGTTTAATTCTACCAATGTAGTTGTAATTCCGGTCGTTCTGAGAGATGGACCATGCTTTTAAAAATACCTAAAAATCAAATATTTTAGAAATCTGAAATACTATCGTCTCTCCCGCCGGTCCATCTCTCTCTCAACTCGCCCTATGGAGGAACATGACATTATTAGAGTGTAACAGAAAGAACTTTTAAGAGTTAATACTTAGAAAATACCCTTCTTTCATACTAAACTTGTTATATTGAAACGACTCATTTTGAAAAGAGCTGAAACATTAGGAAATCAATTACATAAACAGTCAAAAAATTCACATGCATCGAAACGATGAAGTACATATGTCCGATTGACATTAGAACGCGCATTCATCTGTGAATCAACTACAGGAAATGTGTGTGCAAAGTTATGTGTGCGACGAGATATTAAACGTATGCGCGGTTGGGCCCACTGGCCCAGGTGAAAGGGAAATCCGTGCCTACCACCTAACTGAAGCAGAGAGAGAAAGATATTCCGCATTGTATCAACCGCTTTTCGTACGCTGGGAAAGCGTTGACAAAATATTATTATTTATAATGAACAATACTTTAAATTAAGTTCATTGACATGATATTATCTTCCCAGAATCTCAAAATCCTTTAACAATTAAAATTCAGTATTTATTATTTGATATTACAATACACTTGTTAATACAAAATGTATTTTACAATCTTAGCACTCTCATACGTATTTATATTGTACGTACTTCACGCACGATGTGGCTTAATGTATAGAAGTAATAGGTATAAGTAACGAATAAAATCTGGCAATAATTAATTAGAATTAACTTATATATACGTTAAACGCAGTCTAGGAGCAATACAAAAATTTCAATGTCTAATTATTGTGTACGAAGCACAGAACTCTGGTAGCTTACTTCAATAAGTTCTATCCTTTACTTGTACCGTAGTCAAATGTCTATTACACTCGTTTATCCTTCGTTAATATCGCTTTAGAAAGTGTGCGCGGATGGAAAGAACCTCTCACGTTACCAATATTCGAACCTCTCTGCGAAACATACCTATTTGGTAATTAAAATCCACCTATCCCTTAGCTAACCAATACGAAATTATGAAAGTACAGGATGATTAATGATCGATCCTGCGTATTAACGATCCGCTGTCATTTTAGTTATTAAAAAAAAAAGGATACGAACAGCGCATTACATACCACGTTCCCGCGCCATCCATAAACTGTCGACTATGTATGACGCAAAAATTATAATTAAATGTTATCAGATAATATGCCGTAATTAAATGTTATCAATGTCAATATCCTCGAAACAGATAGCAGTGGATGGCCAAGGAAATATGATTGACCTAATATTGATGCAACGTAACGAATGTTATCCTTTTTTTTACTCTTAATCTTTAATGTTACCTATTGGTAATATCTATTTTATCTGTAGTTGCGTCTAGAGGTTTTTAAACCAAATTAATCCATTTATTTTTCAAGAAAAATGGACGTAGAAAAGACTGGGGGGATTGACGCATTTTTATATTTTTCATATAAAAAAGACAGAAAAGAATTATACATTTCAACATAGACTGCTAAGTGTAAATCGTGTTAATTATTTTATTAAAAGAATTTTGTGCTGAGAAACGCAAGTTTTTACTTATTTTATACAAGGCTGTAGTGAATGTATATTAATTTTTATGAAATGGATTAAGGATGTATTTAAAGGAGATTTAATTTGAAATAATTTAACGTTACGTAATCGTAATTATTTCTTCTCATAGTGTTAGTCCATTTCGTCGGTGTGATGAGGCTAACGTAATAGGAAAACAAACGTAGCTGTTCGTAATTCTTTCATGATCATTCCGACTCTCAATCGGGAACTACAGTATACATACGACCCGCTCAAAATAGAATCGACTTGTAATTCCTAGGGTCATCGATCCCTCTTCCGCGTCACCTGCCATGCTTACACCTTCTCGTCATCAAGATAAAATCACGCTTCTGCTACGAACGTAAATCAGATTTTGTCAACTTTTTTTAATCTTATCAAGACCAAATCACGATCTTTAGGAGATTCTTCTTTAAGTTACAAGTACATCGTATTGAATAGCACGCTTTAACGTAGCTCGGCTTTAAGCGATGTCATTGGCCTGCAACTATTTGTAACGTGTTAGAATGCACGAGAATTCTCAGAATATGTAATCTTTCCAAACGTAGCATTCACTCGTACGATCCATTCAAATAGATGTAATTAACATACTTACCAATAGTGCAATATGTAGTCTTGCAATTTAAACGACATGAAATTTCATTTTATTTCATTAATATTATGATACACTACTTCCTCAAAAATGTAGGTGAATAAAATTTGAAGATAATTGGAACGTTATGCTAAAACAGTAGTTTCACAGAGCGACCATTTAGCTAATGAATATTGTCAATAGAATTTAAAAGCACAACTAACGAAGATAATTACCGATCTTCGAAATCAGTTCAGATAATAAAATCTAAAAATTGGGAAGAATGAACGAACAATGAAGTTACTATAAAAGTATACGTGTTATTTATAGAATGATCAGATAATTGAAAATTTGAACAGATTCATAGAATTCGTGGTTTTCGGGCAGACAAAAATGTAGCGAGTGGTGGTGCTACGCTCGTACCGAATACACGAAAAAGAGCAACCGCGGTGCATCGCGATGGCGTGGAAAAGACCTTGAGCCGCGTCACGTGACCACGAAGGTACATCGGAGTTGGGTAGGGCGGTTGCAGAGGGCCTTGACCTTACCGTCGGCGTCGCAGCCGTAGTTGTAACTACCAGCGTCGTCGTGGCTTCTACGATCCTCTGCGAGAGAAGAGGCCGATACGTTTGGTCGCGTGACGCTCTATCTTCCTACAGTTTCATTCTTTCCGCTTTCCCACTGCTTTATACTTCCCTCTCTAACTCGATCATCCTAAACAGACCCTGTGTCTTTATGTACAATTAAATTCGTATAAAATGAAAGCTGAATAAAAATTGATTTAAATATCTCCTGATCACTTTAGTATACTTTGCACTCTGCATTCTTTTTGTATATTACATCACTTCTTTTATGCCACGCTGATCACGTTTGAAATCCACGATTTTGTTTTAAGGATGTATTGGCTATACAGTCAATTCCAAAAGTTTATGCACTTTAGAAACGCATTTTTTAAGAAAAAAACAGACGTCGGAAGAACATTGCTAATAATAAACAACAAAAAAAAATTTTCGATTTTTCCGAGATTTTTCCAAGGGGGTACCCCTTCAATTNAAATTTTTCGCTAGCTTCAATAGTTAACGAGTAATTTGCAAAAAACTGTTTTTTCGTTTTTCGTCAATAACTTGTTAAATATTAATGCTAGCGAAAAAATTTTATACAGAAATTGTAGATCTCGTCATCCTCTACAAGAAAGGTCCTTTATAATTTTCCCGTAGATTCAACGGTTTAGGAGTAATTAAGGAAAAATGAAATTTTTTGCCAAAAGTTCGCCGTTTCGACGCTGGGATGGTCGGATTTTGTCAACATTAATAAAATGCCAAATAATCATACGTAACTCGTTAAATATCAAAATTAGAAGGACAACAACTTTTATTTGAAGCATTTTTCGCAATTTCGAAAAAAAAAATTTTCGTCAGCGTCAATACTTAATTGGATATTTTCTTCTATACTTTTTAGCACGTAGCTATTTAATATTAGCATTATTCTTCCGACGTCTGATTTCTTTTTAATTATAGGAAATGCGTTTTTCTAAGGTACATAAACTTTTGGTTTTGACTGTATAGCCAATACATCCTTAAACAAGGAATTCGACTGTGTAATCAACTTTCCGAACTATTAAATATTTGATAAATTTGTTCTTACAACATGTGACTGCTATTCCATTTAGGAATGTGAGATCTAAATTCAATCGTGATCACATTCATGGATGTGACATAAGGGGGGCAATATCAAGTTTCGTCGAGTTATGAGAAAGTGCATCCGAGTGCACCGAAAGCGTTTACTGGGACGCGATTCGAGGAAACCAGGCCCGTGCAAGTGGCCGGTAGCATCTAACAATAAGTTAAGTTCCGCTAGTGCGTAGAGCGGTGTTGCGCGGCGGCGGCCGTCCCGCAAGGCCGGTGCACTTCCGGTCCTGGCAGAACCGCCGATCGACCTTCGCCGCGGAAACGCAAACGCGGCTCGTACTCGCACCTTTTGTTTGTAACTGATCACGCAACACGATATGTATAATGCACACCGGGGCGAAGAAAAACCGGTACAAAACAGCACTCTTTGTCCGTTACGTCTGCACGGTACGTCAACACCGTTAATTATTTCCAGATGGTGATAGGGACGGTCGTTTCTATCGCAGACTAGCAAACATTGCGATATTAGAATCTTGTTCTGTAAAATCATTTAAATCTCTGAGCTTGGGAACAGTACATACGAGTATGGAAATTAATTAATTTTAAGTAGCTAAATAACTGAATACAGAGGAAACAAGTGAAAATAGTGACATATGTCCGAAATTTTGCTAATAAATAAATTAATAAAAAAATAAATAAATAAATTTATTGATTCATATTTTTTATCCATTATTTCAGAGTAGCTTACTTGTGCTTACTCAGTAAAAATAACTGTAATCTTGTTCGTTTCTTTAATTATAAATTTTTAATTATAATTATTTAATTTTTCGAATTACATTTCAAGTACTATCTACTTCTCTAGTCTCTTTCACACCTCCAGACCGACAGTCCTGCATTCTAAGACACCTTGTATATTGGAAACTGTCGTTTTTCTGTTCATAGGCGCACAGGCACCGATCGTTTCCCGATGTCCGAGCTCGGGCTTACGTGATTGAGACTGTCGAATGGGAGGAATTTGATCATCTCGTGATCAGTCGTGAGGACCAGCTAGCAGGACCAGAGTGGTTCTCATCAGGATGCTGCAAGGTTTCGCAGCCGTTCATAGACCCCGAGTCGCGTCACGTGCGTACGACGAATTAACCAGCTGAGGATGTCGGAGCAAAACGGGCCCAGCGAGGGCCCAGGACCGGGACCGGGTCCAGGTCCCGGCTGGTGGTCAGCGCCTTCTTCGCAATCCTGGAAGTCGAACTCCTGCACTGCCCCGTCTTCCTCGTCCGCCGCTCCAGACAATGCTTCCGCCTCCGTCTCTGCCTCCTGCACCACCTCCACTTCCTCTCTGGCGACCACAACCTCGGCCACTTCGTCGACCAGCTGTTGCTCATCGACACCCAGCGGACCGTCGTGCACGATCACCGCAACTCGCTCCTCCGAGACGGGAAAAAATGTCTCTGTCACAACGATCAACGTACCTCCGAATCAAGATATGCACGATGGTAATTGTCAGTCATCGAGTGGAAAGATTTATTTGTTACAGCATAGTTTTACTCGTGTAATACTTCACACCAAAAATATCAAGTCACTTACATCGTATTATTGATTAAAAAATTGAAAAAATATATCATCGGTAAAAATTTCAGGCAAAGGTATATGCAAATATCTCACCGGTCAGAATGGCGTAACAGTGTCCGTCGTTTCGAGCTGCGGTTCCGTGCCCGGCTGCGGGAACACAAATATCGTTTCGACAACGGGAATCGGTACTGGAACCGGGACGCAAAGCATCGGTATCGGGATCGGTGTCAACGTCTTAACACAGAACACGGTGGACGACGATGCAGAAGACAGTGATGTTGAAATTAGCAAAATCGATTTCCGAGGGGTGAATTTACGTACGAAGAAGAAACGGGAAGTATCTGGTGGCCAAAGCGGAGAGAAAATTGGCGACGGGGACACTGAGGATGGGGACACGTCCCAACAGCAACCAGAGAGGCCTATGTCATGGGAAGGAGAATTGTCTGATCAAGAAATGTCTTCCAATACTATTACAAATCAAGTACGCTTCAACATTTGCATTGCGAATTAACTAAGGAAATAAATATTATCGTTCTGGAAATTACATAGATTCGCTGGGTTTCAGGATACACACGAGGACACGTCCATGGAGGGTGTCCAAGTGTGCGGCGCGAGTCCTGGCCCCATGGAACAGAAGTTTCCCATAAAACCAGAGCCAGACTTTCGGACTAGTCCTGGATTTGGATTCAACTCATTCCATGATACGGGATCACCCTTGCCCCATGGCCAACAGATACAACAGCAGCAGCAACAGCAGCAGCAGCAGCAACAACAACAACAACAACGCAGTGTTGAAAATCTTGAACAGACTCAACAAAACGATTTGCCTCTCCTTGTGGGGAAATTACTTGGCGGTTACAATAGTTCAACTCCAAATCACAGCCCTGTATTAAATCCTAGACACCATCTGACCAAGCATAGCCATACGAGATCGCAGGTAAAATAATTCTATGTATTGTTACATCATCTGGTTATTTTCCTTTTCATTCTCATTTTAAATGTTGAAAATTCATGCCGTTCAATTTGTAAATATTGAGTAAAAGGATCAATCACCTGTTACATTTTTTAGCATTTGCTGTTTTGATCACGTAATTCCTGACGTCTTTAAAATATCCCAGGTGCCGTCACCGGACTCGGCGATTCATTCCGCATACAGCGTATTCAGCTCCCCGACACAGAGTCCACATGCGGCTCGCCATTCCGCCCTGGGTGCCGGCAGCCCGGTTCCGTCCTCGTCGTTATCTCTGTCGCGACATAGCTTCAACAATTCGACCTCCTCGTTGTCTTTGTCGTTATCGCATTCGCTCTCGAGGAACAACTCTGATGCCTCGAGCAGTTGCTACAGCTACGGCTCTCTCAGCCCGCCCACGCACTCACCCGTCCAACAACCGAGACACCCACAGCATCATCAGCACCAGGTGGCCCAGGGCAGTCCGCTTCATCTGCCGGCGACAGCCTCGCCCGCTGTTCCTCATCATTATTCGTCGTCCGCCCCAGGCTCCGAGCTCTCTCCCGAAGGACACACCGCAGACGATCAAGAGGATTGTCGAATTCCCTCGGCACCATCCGGCATTTCCACCAGACAGCAACTGATCAACAGTCCATGTCCGATTTGCGGAGACAAAATTAGCGGTTTCCATTATGGGATTTTCTCATGCGAGTCCTGCAAAGGATTTTTCAAACGAACCGTCCAGAACCGGAAGAATTATGTGTGCCTTAGAGGCGCGGGCTGCCCGGTCACCGTCGCAACCAGGAAGAAATGCCCGGCCTGTAGATTTGACAAGTGCCTCAATATGGGTAAGTTTCACTCAATTATTTTAAATAAACTAGTACTTGTTAAAATAGTTCTAACATCGTGAGTAGGTATGAAGCTCGAAGCGATTAGAGAGGATCGTACCAGAGGCGGAAGAAGTACCTATCAGTGCACGTACACGCTTCCAGCCAGTCTGGTTGGGAGTCCAGCGAACAGCATGACCAGTGACAAGTTAGCCACAGGAGGAAATTGTAGTCCAGCACCAGCTGGCAGTGAATATCACTATAACGCCAGGCATTATTCGAATCACTCTCACAAGATCCAAGTAGTGCCGCAACTTTTGCAAGAAATCATGGACGTGGAACATTTGTGGCATTACAATGATAATGATCGCATGTCCGGGGTACAAGCCGGAGGCGCGAACGCGACTATAAATAGCGACACGATCTTAATGGGTAGTGGCGGTGGATCCGGAACCGATGCAGGCTCGGGTGTCGAGTGTTCTTCCGGTGGGACTGCGAGGAACGGTAATCCAAGCAGCAGAAGAGACGAGAGGTCGTGCTCGAACTCCTCCGCCGTCAATAGTGAGCAACGTGGCGGGCCTGTTAATAGCAGTTCTCAGATGAACAACACAAACGGTAATCCGAATCAGCGTCCCGACTTCCTATCGAACCTGTGCAACATAGCCGATCACCGACTTTACAAGATAGTGAAGTGGTGTAAAAGTTTGCCGCTGTTCAAGAACATTTCGATCGACGACCAAATTTGTTTGTTGATCAACTCCTGGTGCGAATTGCTGCTATTCTCGTGCTGCTTTCGCAGCATGAGCACTCCCGGTGAAATAAGAGTGTCTCTCGGCAAGTCGATTACGTTGGAACGTGCTAGACAGCTCGGCCTGGCGACTTGCATTGAGAGGATGCTCGCATTTACCAACAATCTCCGAAGACTCCGTGTAGATCAATATGAATATGTGGCAATGAAGGTAAACATTTCACTTTTGTATTGACAAATTTTATGTATTTATCGCATATAAACGTTGCTCATTTTTCAAATTTCTATTGTTTAGGTAATAGTATTATTGACATCCGACACAAGCGAACTGAAAGAACCGGAAAAGGTGAGAGCATCTCAGGAGAAAGCGTTACAAGCGTTACAACAGTATACTATAGCGAGGTACCCGGAAATGCCTGCCAAGTTTGGCGAACTACTGTTGAGAATTCCGGATTTGCAAAGGACATGCCAAGCGGGAAAAGAATTGTTGAGTGCGAAACGTGCTGAAGGGGAAGGCAGCTCATTTAATTTGTTGATGGAATTATTGAGAGGAGATCATTGAAATATTGTCGCAGCAGACAATGCCGTAAGTTATTCATTAAATACATACATGAAGATATATTTGAAAGTAATACTAATTAGGTAACTATGCATGGTTTCACTTCTAGATTCCACGCTTATAAGTTCCATAAGCTTAAGGAATCGGACATATTAGATAATGAAGGAGCAGCACCACTAGAAAAAAATATTACAGTCCACGATACATTAGTTCTGGGTGAAGGGACTACATTCTTATAGGGCTAATTAGAAGTTGACTGTTTGATGCATTGAGCGGATCAGAAATCATGTTTTTTTCTCTTCATTTTTGTTCTATTTTTTAATTGATTAAAATACTTCCACAGAGGTATCGCGTGATAACGTGAACTCGCCTTAAAACAGACGAATTTCGGAGCAGCCTATGGTATGTTCGAAATATCCAGCATGCATAGTTGTATACAAAAGAGACTGAAAGTATAATTGAAGGAGAGATGCAGAGCATTTACTTTTATAATATTATTGATGTACAGAGATAGAGATTGAGAGAGGGGGAGAGAAAGAGAACGCGTGTATGTGAAGAGGAGAGAATGTAAGGGAGAGAATATTCGGTATCGAAATCATATTAGATAGATTCAATCTGTTCAATTAAAACGAGGGACATAAAGAGTTTTAACCTTGATATACATGTATAATTAAATACTATATATAATGATAAAACAAACCAGTATTTTGTATTATTCTGCGTTTACTTAAGAATAGGACACGGAACGATGTCTTATATCCCGGTAATGAAAGTGTACTTAAAACTTATGAGTCGACCAATTATTTACTTATAGAACAATTATAATCATGTAACAATTACTAAGTAATAACAGCTAGCTAACGTATTTTGCCAACAGGACATTTATGATTCTTATCTACGTATCACGTAAAAATGCAACCTCTTCTACTTTTATTTTTTGTACGTGTTTAATGAACCAACGACGGATGGAAAAATTTACTCTTAACGTACATTCTTTTAAAAAACTGGCAACAATCATGTTTTCACTGTAAATAAATTTTATTTTAAAACAATTGTTTCGAAATTATAGTTTTATAGAGTTTTCTGTAGACTCATTAAAGAAACTGCCCTTTATTCGTTATTCAAATTTTATAATTATTGCTTAGGAATTAAGGCGGTTTGATTTATCATATTTATGCAGACGGAAAATATGTATCATTTGTCATAATAAAAGTAGAAATTTAGGACCAGTGATCAAGGATTTTTGTTAGTAATTAATTGGATTTGCAATATTTGAGTAAGCTCATCAAAAAATTGTATTCGTAGGGTACATTATAAATCGAAAATTTAATTTGTTATACTTTTAATGTAATTGTTAAAAATGAAATGTTATAGAAAAAAAAAGCGTACAGGTATTGCCCTTTAGTTGTAAGCTGGTGCAATTTTTCAAATGAAATAAATAGAAAATTTTTGTAAAGGGGAATTAGAGTGTACTATTTGAAAGAATACTCATTTCTGTCGTTGGTACTATAATGAGACTGTCATATCAACGCATTATTCTGTTTTATTAATGCACCGATTAACTTTATTTTGATCAGTCAAAAAAAAGAATGATTAACAACATGCAATACTTAATTTGTAATTCTAAGAGCCGTCTTCCCGTACTTCTAATAGATTCCCTTATAGAACAATCGTCCAATCGTACACAAGGTCTTCATTAAATATGGTAGCAAATATAATTTCTTGCGTTAAAAAATTCATTTGTCAAATGTCAAATATGAAAAATCATTTCGATTTAGAAATTAAATTTTATTGAACTGTTAAGTATGTCTTTCATGAGATTAGGAAAACATATTATTAACGATACTGACTATCTATTTATTCCAATATTTATGAATTATAATATCAAATATAAATATAACAGTTAATAAAAAGTCATTTCAAGTCTAGCAAAAGACAATCTTGCTTAACACATTTAATGAGACTCTTCGTGTAAGCATACAGAATGCAAGGTAAAGCGTTTTGTTTATACAATTTACAAATATCAAATTCTTATTGTATGTACTTTCTATTAGAGAAAATACTTCGTTGTTAACCATTTATTGTAATTATAATCTTCCTCTTTAAAGACCAATATTATCGATGGGGAACAATTTTTAATATTTTAATACAGTTTTAAAATATATTTCAAAGCTTACAGATGAAGAAATTCTATGTTGTTGTTTACATGTAAGAATATGCAATTCACTGTACAAGTCTCCTCTTTTTCTACGAGGAATTCTCCTAATACGTAATTTTGAATCATTATCCTGAATAAATCATCATTCAAAAGTATCATTTAAAATTCAAGCTATATTTCTAATTTTATAATGATTACGAATATTGTATTCAGGAAAAAATTTATTTAATAGGCAATTTTGCTAGGATGATTTGCAACAAAACGAACAGTACGTTACGCTGAGAACGCGTTTTTAAATGTGAAAATGAAATTTTCGGAAGTGTATATGAAAAGTTCTTTGAAAATTAGTATTACTAGTACAGTAATTATATCTCAGTATCGTAAAAGAAATACTGAGAGAAATATTTGTGCCTTTGACAAAATTTAGTTTTCTAATCCTTCTGTAATTTGTGATGCAAGATAGAAAAGCGAACAGATTAAATATAAAAAGAAAACAGAT